CTCGTTGTAGAACCATGTTCATGCAGATGGACTGATGTTGTTTCTTTAGTTTTACATCAGAGATTTATGTGGAAATAATTCCGAGCACCTTCATCCGTTCATCCTCATCCTCGCCTGATGAGAGCGGCTCTCCTCCCGTCCCATCACATCCTCTCTCTCTTTAATTGAATCAGCCCTCGGCTCAACGCTCACTCCGCCGTCGTTTTCTCTGGTGTGATTGCTTTTCCTAAATTTGCACCTTCATTGAAGTTCAAACTGAAAGAGAATCACAGCAGCAGCATCACAGAAATTAGCCAGCAACGGGTTTTATAATCACTTCAATTATTTTTCGGGCAGAAGCAGTAGAAGCATCCTGTTAAAGCCGCTGAAATGAGAGGATTTGCTGCTTTCTTTGTTGCACATTAGACTGAAGCTGCGACTGGGATGTTGGTTGTCGTTTGTGAGACGTGTTAAAAATCAAACCCTGTATCAGCCAGAAACTGTAGAAATAAAAAGAATCACCTGATTTGTGACTCCTTGATTGTCCTTGAACTTGTCATGTGTTGTGTTTTCATCAGGACAATGAAGTGAATTTAGGCCTCACATCCTGATATTTCATCAAAGCTTCTTTATTTCTACGTCTTATTTAAAAAATATGCTAAAATAAATTCTTTGCTGGAACAAAATTGTGTCAAAACCCAAAAATTCAGCTGCAAAAAACTTCCAGTTTTTATTTTTTTGTTTTTGTAAAATAAATAATCAAGGAAATGTTTTTTTCCTTGATTCATGTCCTGCTGACAGCAGACGTCTCAGAGTTCTGTCTCCTCCTCCTTCATGTGGTTCTGGTTCCTCAGAGCTGCAGGACTTGATGCTGAAACATGAACCTCAGTGAAGGAACACGAGACGGGAAAATAGTCTTTGTTTCATAACTGCTAAAAAAAATAAAATCAGAGTTCAGTAACTTTCACCTTATTTGAAGCTTTTTAATGTTCTTTTCAAAATAAATCAGCAGCAACATGATGAACTCTTCATGAAGTCTGACATTCGGTCGTTGCCCAGTTACAGTTTACCGATGTTGGAGCTGCGGATAAAGTCAACGCAACTTTGCCGTGCTTCAACAAACGGCTGATATTTAACTTCCTGTTTTAGCGCTGAGGTCATTGGGGCTAGTTTTATCGTCGGTGTAGAAAACTGTGTCATCGGCGTAGAGTCGGAGCTTCACCAGGTGAAAGTTGACGTTCTGAGGTATGTGTGATGCTGTCCATGTCCAGGAGGTGGTGCTGTACTGTCTGGAGCGGCAGATCTGCGATGTGAACCACCGAGATAACGCTGGTTACTGCGCCCTGCACGAGGCCTGCGCCCGCGGCTGGCTGCAGATCGTCCGCCACCTGGTGGAGCACGGAGCCGACGTCAACTGCAGCGCTCAGGACGGAACCAGGTACGACGACTCAGTTCGCTGTTCTTCTGGTTTGTGAGTCGTTTTCAACATCTCTGTGATTGTTTTGTGTTTTTGGTGTTTTGTTTCAGTTTGCATCAGTTTAGCGTCTGTTTGTGTTCATTTATTATCTCGTCTCGTCAGCTTTATTTCTTTCTTGTAGCTTCACATCGTTTTTATTGGGTTTGTGTCTGTTTTGGCAAGTCCCAAGTGCCACTGAGCAGCTTCCATCATGACCTGTTCCAAGTTGGAGTTCAGAGGGTTAACCAGGTA